AAATAAAAGAAATAAAATAAATGAAATTAGAAAAGTTAAAAAAAAAATAAAATAATATTAATACAATAAAGTATAATATAATATAATATAATATAACATAAAAATATAATTTGATTTTTATATATAGAAAAGTAGGCTCATATAAATGCAATGCAATAAATTAAACTGTCAAGGCTTTTTAAAAAACGAGCAAATGTAGGTAACTAATGAAATTTATCTTTTATTACATTCATGTAACGCTATAAATTTCAGACATTTCGACTTACAAAATCTTCATCAGTGATAATAAAGAAAATGTATTTATGTAACCTCATCCAATGTCAACGAACTAACATATGATACATAATAAAAATTATCGCTCTAGGCTAATCTTATTTAATTATTTCTGCATTAAGATATTACGGTATCAAAATAAGTATCAAGTCAGAAGTTTGAAAGTCCATAATTGTAAAATTATGTTTAACTGGTTCTTCAGTTGTATATTGTTGAGCTCAGTCAACAATTTCATATAAAACGTCATTCCGAACGAGGATTTCTTCGATTATCCTATTATATTCTGTACAATTAAATGTCAATTTCTGATTAAAAAATTATTATATTTAATACAATATTGATGAGAATTTATTTTTCATTTACGTTAATTTATATAGAATGGTCAATCCATAATATTTTAACGCAGGAATTATTATATATTATATATTATATTTGTTATATTATATGTTTATATTTATTTTTATATTTATATCAAAAACGCATTTATTAAATCTTGAGGTGAAGCAAATGGAGCGTACTCTTAATTGATCTATGGAGTATGCTCTAAGGATGAAATCACATGGTGCGGAAAACTGCGACATAGAAGCAACATTATTTTGCGTTATTCCGCATAGCATAATTGGTTATTATTTGAATGACGCATTCTCTATTCCGCAGCCTTTTTTCGCACCGTGTGATTTCACCCTAATGCGACGCGACATCTAATCACCATATTAGTTCCGGTGACGCGATGTATTGAAGCGTGTTGGACATGTTAGAGCGTACAACGCGAACAAACTTCTAGTGTAAGCAAGTTGAACAGACCTATGCTGTGACAGATTTTCTAACCTGAGTAATTGTCAACTTTAACATTTAATGCTTAATATCTCTCGATTCGCGGAGCAGAGCGATTTTTTTTGTCAGATTCGTTTCGTGTAAAAACGCGTCGAATGAGCCTAATTTCATCAAAATCGATGAGTAAGCCCATTTTTCACAATAGAGATTCTAGATGTGAATACATAAATAACTTCTGTAAACATAGCAATGAGATCTGATCACGATATGGAAACTGATAATATAAATCCATCTGTCGAGATACAAATTCAGAAGATATTAATTTCCATCCATGGCGTTAGTCTGAAAATGTAAAATTTTTATAGTTACTTTTTGTGAAACTGATAATGATCAGTTATGACAGTTGGATTGCAATTGGGTTGATTTTTTAACTTTCAGAAAGAAAGAGCTGGAGATGATTAAGGAACTTACGAAGGAAAATGGACATCTAGGTACAGTAATCAATACTGCGAATCAAACATTGTCCAAGAAAGTTAAAAAAATGGGAATGAATGTGACAGAAATTATCCATGAGAGCGAGCGTAATAACAGGTTAGAATCAGACTTACTGAATTCAAGCACATCCATGAATGTTATGAAGGAGTTGAGTGAGATCAAATAAGTAAATAAATTCCTGAATTAATTCTTTAATTTTTAAATACATTTTATTTATTGTACATTATATATCTTTATATTATTTTATATCTTGATAATTCACATATATTTACTACATTTTTATAGACTATTAATAAAAAGTTGTTATAATGTTAAAAAGTTATAATATAAAATTAATATTAAAATAGATATGTGTCTCTCAGGATACAAAGGAAATCTGTTCTGATCCAATGGGACAATATCATATGTAAAAATAAATTTTTTTTTCTATGACTTTTTTAATGAATCGTCCTTATAACTCGTCAACAATAAGAGACCAATAAAATAACTAAACACAGAATAAATTTATTCTTAATGTCAAACTTTATATTTTTACCTAGAAAAAAACTTTTTCATCTAAATTGGATCCTTCTTCAAAAAACATTGATTTAATGTGATGTTCTGACTATCTAATAATGAATTTGTTATTACCAGTTTTACAATTTCACATTTTACTGCTCACTTTTATTGCTCACTGTTGAATATACAGAATTACATTTTCACAAATCATTTCATGATTGAATATGGGTGTATCATGGAATTTTTTTTGGGAAGGTTTTCAATGAACTCAGAAATATATGTATCGTGCAGCAATCTAAATGACAATAAAAAAAAAAAGGATTTTGCTATTGTATTGAAAAAAACATCACTGCATCAATTTTGTTGTAATTTACAATAATTTTTAACAGTAATGAATTCCATTTGATATTTTTACAACTTTTAATTTATGTCTTCTTGTATCTCATTTTGAAGAGAAAAAATGTTACGTTTTGTATATCATGTAACTTTTATTTTTTTTTTAAGAATAATTACTACAAGAATGTATCAATTATAACGTATTACATTTTATTTTTTGGGACGAAAATCTTACGAAAATTTTTCCTATTTATTGCATATTTTGTCAAAACTTGAATTAACAGAAGTATTAAAAATTATTTATATGTTATAACGAGAAGAAAAAAATATTTTATGTAACAATAAAAATTTCATATAAAGTCAAAAATAAAGTTGTATATTTTTTACATTTAAAAATTAAAGAGAAAGTTCGGCATAGAGTATGACATTACCAATTCAAAATAAAATAAGCTCATTAGTAAAAATTATTAGACATCAACCGATAAAAATTTCGGAAGGATTTGAATCCCCAACTCTCTCCCTTATACGCCCATATGATTGGACAAGATTTTGGTTGTCTGATTATCGTTCTTATTATTACTACACATATATTTGCAAGTTACTGTACTATACATATATTTGTAAGTAGGTTTAAGAAATTAATTTACCTATTATTTATTTTACATATTGAAAGGTATGCAAAATAATAGATAAATTAACTAAAAAATATAGTTGAGAGTTAAACTGAAAAAATGTATAAGCTGAAATGTATGTATATGATTTTATTAAAATATTAAATGCTATTTTAAATATATATAAGTAAATTTGCTTGTATTTAATTGTTTAGTCCATATTAGTCTATATTATTGACTTGTATTTTACTTTAATGGTATTAATTAATAATTTATAAAACATAATTATGTTAAATTGAGAAACGAAAACCTTATATGGTCTTAATGGTTTAGGTACCTAAATAATTACAATTAATATTAAACCGTCGAAAATTAAAAGAAATAAACTTATTTTCGGTCAAAACGGTTCTTAGTACTTAAATATTTCAGAGTGAATTTTTCTATACATATTCAAATTCTAAAAATCGTGTTCCAAAATCTTTTTCGTTCTTGAAATGCTATCATAAACAGATTACTAAATTAGTAATACCAGAAGATAAATATAATAGAATTAATGAGACTAATGAGTCAGCAACGATAAACGGCGCAATTATTTAGTGAACAATCGATATTCAAATATTGGATTGATGTCTTCTTTATTTTGAACGGTTCGACTCTCTTTGGAGTCCTCCTCAGCAAGAATGATACAAATATAATTAATTTACATGTCCATAATGCCTAATGCCACTTGCAAATTGACAAAGATGCAGCGTTATTAATCTTCACAACATGAAACATTGTTTTGAAGCTTTGTTGAATTTTATATTAAAACTTAAAAAGTAGAATTGTTAATCAAATAAAGATCACACATTTTTAGAACACGGACGTGCGCGCGTGCGTGTGTATAATTAACACCGAATTATTTTAAGCATTTAAGATTCAGCTCAGATCGTATAAGACTGTCATTCCTCAGTTGTGTATTCACATTATAGTCTCAAAAGACACTTCATCTATAATTATGCTAACCCATCATTACTTGCATGGATTGTTCAAAATATCCCACCCTTATAAATTCGTTAAATGTACATGGACATTATAACTTGTACACATTATTATATTTAGCGCAAATTGTTTTACAATAAAACAATTTGTATTTATCTTTATTTAAAGGATGTAATAAAATATTATCAATTTTTTTCAATCGTAAATTATTAAAAAGAAAATGAAAATTGAAATATAAAATATGCAAGTAATTAAAAAAAACCATATGAATAACAGAGTTATAGTAATATAAGATCTAAAAAATGATTTTCTGAGAAAAAAATATTGGAGAAAATCATAAATATTTTCATGAAGTGTTTTGATTGTGACACATCTATAATTTTGATTCTGTTAACCAGTTGAATTGTTGCTTCTTTCGTTCTGCTTGCGGATTAATCATAATGTTTATTAAACTGGGACTATCCACCACCTAAAACGATATTTTAGCATTTCTTTTCAATTTTTAAAGAAATGACGATCTTATTTTAATAACAATTTTACCTTGAGAGATAATTGCAATGCCTGCTGAATGTCCTTCACAGTAGTGCAAAAATGTCCTTTCTTGTCAAACATTTCCATCAATTTTTCATAATGAGTTTCAGATGTTAGTGAATACGGAGGTGTCCTAAAAATGTAATTTTAATAATCAATGTAAAAGTATCTGGATTTGCAAACAATCGATATATGAGACAAACTAATAAAGTCGAAAATATCTAAAAAATAAAATTAAAATTAAATATAATTAATTATCTATAAAACGTTTTATAATTATATATCTTTTAAAGCTTCTAACACTCATAGATTAATGATGTCAAAATGGAGAAATATATAATGAAAATTCTTGCGAAATAAAATTAAAATAAAAATATTTTTCAATAAAACAATATTTGCATTTGATAGAATACACTTAAAAAATATACCGAAAACTCCTTTTTTTCGGTATAGAATTTCGAAATAGAATAAAATCATATTATCTTAATTTGACAACTTCATAAATACACATAGATATAAATATATAGAAGATTATTTCATTTTCTGGCATAATTCAATCAAATATATGATTATTTTTTTATTACCGGAACATAAAGGGAGTTTTCGATATATTTTATAAATCTATTTCATTAATTGCAAATGTTTTATTTAAAAAATATATTTTAATATATTTTTTATACAGCTTGCAACAATTTTCTTTGTGTATTTTCTTTGCTTTTTTTTACTGTCATAATCCAGATGATTGCAGTGAACCTTAAGTTAAATTCTTAAATATTTAAAACATAATTTTTTTATATTAAGATTATATAAAGAAATGCGTACACTTGCGTGGGATCTCCGGATGCCTGTATCTGTTTGAAAGTTTCGTTATCGAAACCGCTGTATATGCCATTATTATTCACGATTATAATGATCACCGGTAATTTATAACTGAAAAGATATTATATATATTCTATTATATATATTCTTCGCTCGTGAAATGAGACTTTTCTTATCTTAATAATTCTACCGAGATAGTCTATTGCCTGGAGGGTTTTAAAAGCAACTAATTTCTTAATTCCTGCAATTTTATTGATTCATGTATGATTCGACATGTAAATAATAAACAATCAATTAATTGTGTGTTATAGAAACCAATTTTAATGTCATTTTCAATAAAAGTCAATATAATATAATCGTACAATTCTCAATATTGACGTCAATTTTATTGTCCATATCAGTGTTTAAATTGTCTTCTTCAGCTTCCTGTTTTGACGTTACAATTGATTCCTCCTTGATTGATAATTGCAATAAAAGAAAGTTTCATAACATAAAATTAGAATAAATTCAAGATATTGGAAAACCGATTAGAAATGTCTAATTTGCATTAACGATATCTCAGTCATCATTGATCAAAAAGCTCTTGTTTGACTTCTCATTTTTTTCGTTACAATGTCTACATTTTGTCTCTAATAATGACAAAAGCATTTGAACTGATAGAAAAAAAGTTATTATATAAAAAAGTAAAAATTGAAAATTTTAACAAATTTTCGTTATTTTTTTCTTCTGTTTTCTTCTATTTTGAGTTTGATATTAAAAAAAAATTTTTTATATATCTAATTGATAGGAAATTAATTTCCTACAAAAAAAGTTCTTTTGAAATTTTTTCGTATTCTACGTCGTTTTCGAGATGTATTAAATATAATTTGAAAAATGATACTTTTTGTTAACATCTTCGAAACACACCATGATGTTTAATAGCATTTTTTGTTTTTTAACTTATTTACATGTCGAATGATCGTAATGAATTAATAAAATTGCATTAAAAAATTAGTTTCGAATAACAGTCGTTTTTTAGTTCCTGGCAATAGCTTATTATATTACCGAAACATGGTTTCGATCTCCATGCCGGAGAATCCAAAGGCGCTATCTCCTTCCACACAAATTACTCTCTTTTGCGGCGCATTATCTTTGCAATAAAGAGCAGCTGCGATTGCAAATCCAAGTCCTACACCCATAGTTCCAAACGTACCGGCGTCTAATCTATGGCGAGGCAAATTGTTCAAGAGAATGGTTCGTCCGATGTCCATTGTATTAGCTCCCTCAGAACAAATAATGCAATCTGTATATATGAAAAAAATATTATAATTATAGAATTTATACTTGAGATATAATTATACAATTTATACTTGAGAGAGATAATAAAAAGAATGGAGTCAAAAGAGGAAATGTATAGGTAAAGGAAAGATATGGAGAGAAAATAAAGTGAACTAAGGAGTAAGGAAGTAAGAAATAAATGTGATAATAATAATAGACGATGATAAGTGATATAGAGATAACGTATGTATGTATTGAACGAGAGTATATTATATTAGAAGTAGATATAATTAAGAGAGAAAAGCGGATAAAGCAAAAAAAAATAAAAAGAAATAATGTAAAGAAGCGAAGTCAGAGGATTTAATCAGAAAAGTAGGGAAGTAAAGGGATAAGCAAAAAAATTTTTTTTTTAATTTTTATAATAATATATGTGCGACAGTTTGCGGAATATGAATGTATGAATATATGAATGAGTTAAGAATTTTATGTAAACCCTTCTTGGCTGTAAATACGCTGAAGTGTAATAAATTCTATTCTACAATTTTTACTTTATAGATTTAATA